ACTACAGAAATTTGAAATGGGAAAAAAATACGTGATGATAAAAGTTTGGTATAATTTCATTGAAAATTGTAAAATCATTTGTTATAGAATTCAATTCTATTGTTCAAAACCAAAAGATATCATGTGTCAGTGTAAATACAATTCCACTGATTTAAAGAATGAATAATATTAAATCAGTCTCAATGAACCCAGATTTTGAAAGTCTTATGAATTTTAAAATCTAATGGAGTTGAATTTAACTTAAACAACCAATAACACCCCCTTAGTTTTCTACTATCAATATAACTAAACACAACTAAAAGATTTTAACCTTAATTATTAAATTAGACAAATCCATACAATGTTTCAGAATTAATACTCTATTTTTTTTAAAAAAAAGATATTTTTACAGGTCCTATATTTCCTAAAATGCTTATTTTATTATGATTCAAAGTCATAAAGTTAAGACTAAAAGTTTGTCCAAAATAAAATAAAATAAATTTAAATTTCTCTAAATTTTTAGCAGTTTGTATCCTATTTAATCCACTCTCGTTGTAATATCAGTTAAAAACCAATTATAATATACCACCTCATAAGTCCATGATAAGTTTGATCCTCCCCTTACTCCAAGTTACAGACTAAGGGGGTGTTATTGGTTGTTTAAGTTAAATAGAGTATTAATTCTGAAAAAAAAATAGAGTATTAATTCTGAAATACTCTATTTAAAAAAATAGAGTATTAATTCTGAAACATTGTATGGATTTGTCTATTTAAAAAAAATTTATTATTTAATTCAGAATATTTAATTCTGAAACCAATATTTAATTTATTATAACTATCTAAGTATATCTCTATTTCATATATGTATAATCTGAATGTATTTCTCTATAAATAATCCCCTTTAAATAATGACATTCTTTTAATTTGAAGTTTTGTTTTTCAAAATACAGTATTTCGAAAATATAAATAGAAATGCCTAATTAACCTTATTATTCTGTACACGCACTTTCCATATCGGTCTTGGGATATTTGTTGAACAATGAAAGAATATTGGAGGACCCTAACACTACACACCCTTAAGAGCCGGCACTAGTTGGAGTTACGTAGAAAAGTATGAAGCAAACGTGTAGTAAGGTGTACGTGTGATGATTCTTTAAAAAGATTAGTCCTCAAACCTCAAAAGCATATCTCCTCTTCTTCCTAAAGGTCTAGGATTAGGAAAGTTTCTCAGCGACATCAAAGACTTAAAGAGGTTAATCATTCTTTCTTTCTTTCTTTTTTTTTCTAGCTGTTTTATCTTTCGTTTTAGCCAATGAGGTGTGAATGATGATGATCTTATAACGTTCGATTCTTGACACTGTAAGAACGAAACTGCGTTACATACGCATATGACCTATATATGTTTTGGATATAGTGATATTTAATGTTTAAGTTATCTCATTGTATAAGAAATATAGTGATATTTTTTTTGTTATAGTTATTAGTTATAAATGTTACAACTTATCATCATATATGATAAGTGTGGTATAGAGACAATTTCTGCTCTTGTATATATCATTTATCGCGCTTAGGGGAGTCTCGTTATCGAGTTACTTCATAATCTTACCTAGAGGTTCACGGTTCACCGCTTAAGGTTTTATAGTCGAGGATTTCAATTTTGAATATCTATGCTTTAGTGTTTTTTTCCATATTTTGTTGACATGGGACAATACTATTATGATTTTCTTAATATATATATATATAGAACCTAAACGTTCTAATCCAAAAAAGTGTGGTATTCCTAGTAAATCCCTTTAAGTCATTAAAAATCTAAAAGATGTCCGTAGTTATACCATTTTCTTAAAGGGATTTTTAACTACGGACATTTTTAAATCCCTTTTAAGTCATTACAAATAGTCATACGAAACTGTTCAATAAAAATAGATTTTAAAGTATATTTTTAAATCACTAGTTTAAAACATTTGATTTCATTAAATTTTTTAAAATCCAAGATTGACTAACAAAAATTTATTTAGTATCATATAAAATGTTCGATTGAATACACCTCTGCTAGCTTAGTGTTATTGGTTTGTCAGCGACTTTATAAGTCCATGTCCATCCATAATCTCTATTACTAAAACAATTTAGTTATCATTTTTATTATAATTTTACTAGAATATCTTGTTTATGGGACAAATAACTCAGTTTTACACATAAGTATTAAACCAGTTTCAAAATCTCTTGTCTATCCATAAGGTTCTTAAATTTTTCTTATAAAAAAACAACAGCAACATAGCCAATAAACGGATTTTCCTAATCGTTCTTAAGGTTCTTAAATTTTTCTTATAAAAAAACAACAACAACATAGCCAATAAACGGATTTTCCTAATCGTTCTTATAAGTCGCCTGCATTGTTATTACAATCAAAGATATTGTTATTACAATCAAAGATACATTATGTCTTGTGCTAGTAGTGTGCTACATTGTCCCTTGTTTTTTACCATAAAAGATACGTTATTCAGATGGAGGAGATTGTTTTGGAAGCAAAAGATGCAGTTGATTGGTCATATAGAGGCGAAGGAGCTGCTAATTTGGTTCTTTCATACACTGGATCCTCTCCCACTTTCGTTAGTCTCCTCTTTGAAACTATTTCTGAATCCCAAAGATCATTTTATATTGTCTTAATTTTCTTCTTTTTTGGGATTAGCAAGAAGTAGATAACACTGAGTGCAATCTTGTTTTTTTTTTTTTCTCCTTTTTGCTAAATGTGAAGTTGGGAAAGGTGATGAGGATAATGAAATGGCCAAAGAATGGGAATGAAAATGGAGACACAAATGGAAATGGTCTTACGACTCACGAGAAGCTTATTTGGGGAGAGAATAAGGATCTTGTATCTTGCCAAAACAAGGAGATTGTGGAGTATTTGTATGTCAAACATGTCATGAGACCTTTGTTAGGTCACAAACATGTTAATGCTGGAGTATGTTTCCCCTTCTAATGATTATAACGTGTTCTAACAAGTTACAAGACTCTGGAAATTGCATCGCGATCTTTTAAATGGTTTTGAGTCTTGATGATTTGGGAATGTTGCAGATTCGTCTTCTTGTATCAAAGGAGTTTCTTGAGTCTGCTACGAAAATAGTGTCATCTCAGCGTTTTCCTTGGCGAGCTAATGCAGCCAATGCGGATACTAACCGCAGTTCCGTGCTTCTCATGGATGATATGACACTTTTCGACCATGGTAAATCAATTTCGTGTAATTTAACTATTTGATGAAGCTCTTTCTTTTCATTGTTGATATGAGCTTGTATGTTGTCTCTTGGTTAAGTCAATTTGATAATGAATTTTTTTTACTTAATAATCTACTCTGGTTTAGGTCATGTTGATGATCATAACCCATGCTTAACTGTTGAAATAAAGGTGGTCATACTAACTATCCTGTATGTCCTTTATTTTTTATTTTTTTTGCTAGCAATTAATTGCTTTATTTTTGGCTGATATATGTGTTACTCTTGATGATGTAGCCCAAATGTGGATTTCTACCATCTTCAAGTTTCATAGCGGAAGAAAATGTTATCAAGAAGAGTATAACTCGGTTCGAAATGCAACAAGTTCTGAAGCTTAGGGGAAACGAGGTACTTTTTGTCCTACATTCCTCAAATCCACATTAATCCAAGTTCTAAGCTTAATACATGAAAGTCACGTTTTCAGATATCAGAAATCAGTGAATATGATCCCTTAGACCTTTTCTCTGGATCCAAAGGTAGAATACACAGAGCAATAAAAGCGCTCTACGCGACTCCTCAGAACAATTTCCAAGTGTTCTTGAATGGTTCTCTTGTATTTGGAGGCTTCCGTAGTGGCATATGCAAAACAACCTCAACGGTTGAATTAGCTTTTGAGAATATACTCAAAGATTTCATCAAAACCGAAGATGAGGGCGGTATACGTGCAAATAGTTTCATAGAGCTTGTTGCGGAAACTGTTTACGCATCTGGAGCTCTTGATCAGCTTTTAAACGTTCAAAAGCTTGACAAATATAGCATCGAGGGAGTGATTCACGCGTACTATGACTTAATTGACCAGCCATGTAAAGCATGCCAAGAGTTGGAAAATAGTAAATTGTCGAATCCATTTGGTTCCATGCATGCAATGCCACAGGATGAGAAAGTGAATATTTTGAAGGGTTTTCTAATATCTTCCACTGCAGTTGATTGTAGTGTAATGGTAAGTTTTAGATCAACAGAGACTGGGCTTTCAAGATCCTCTTCCCCCCACGGTAAACTTTATCTTGAATCAACAAAGCAAGAATTTGAGTACAAGGTAGATAAGTCTTCTCTTTTACTTGAATTGTTTCTCTCATAATGAAACTGAGGCTAGTCTACATGATCGGCAGGTACACTTCATTGATCTTGATATGAGACCTTTGAACAAAACTGAAGTGTATTACGAATCAGACAAGAAGATCATGAAAACGTACCTGGAGATAGTGAAGACGAAAGGGGGTTAATCTCGATGCTTCTAGAACTACAAGCCAAGAAGCATATTTCATATCTCATAGAGGGATGTTTTCAATGGTTGGAAATAAGGATTGTTATATATGTTTCACTTAACGTAATAGTTTCCTACTCCTGTTTTCACTTGTATCAATATTTTAAAGACTCCCTTTTACTTGCTACATTTTTCAACGTAATAACTAAATGATGACATGCAAAACAAAATCTCGTAATTGCACATATAATATAAGAATCTGGAGAAACAGTGTAAAGCATGGTCGTCACATGTTTGTATTTTCAGAGGTATGGAATGGGATACCATAAGTCCTGTCCCAGAGCATTTTTGGCCAAAGATGATCGAACCAAAAAGTGACTTAAATATGATGTGCGTTCGTTCAATCACTAAAGTTCCAGCACATGATCAGTGCTTTGAGCACAATGGTTTTTATCAAAGATACGATCAGCTCCAAAGGAACCAATGCTTAAAAAAGTGTCAAGATGTAATGACTCATTGAAGTCTTTCATTATATAGTCGTCGTGGACGACTAGCTTTTTTAAATTATCGTTTAAAATTTCTGGAATTTGATTTTGTACGCCTTGCCATTATTTTCCATGAAATATAATGTGCATCAAGAGACAAGTTGGAAGAAAAAGACAAAGACAAGTGAGGAAGATTCAAAGTAAGGCTGCTAATATTAGAAAAATTAATTTAACTAAATAATAAAAGTAATATATATATTAGAAAAAAAAAACTTTAAGACATTTTTTTTTTTTTTTTTTGACTAACTAAAAACTTTAAGACACTTAAAAAAAAAAACTTTAGGTGTGATTCTTTCCCCAAAAAAGGAGTTCTTGAAAAATCAAAGCATCTCTCCTCTTCCTAAACATCGACGAGAGCAGAGTTCTTGACGCCATCAAGATTCAAAAAGGTTAGTCATTTTTAACAGCGAACAATATCGCTATTTTTCTCGTAACTATATTTATAAATTTGTCCATATCGACGAGAGGATTTTTGCATCTACTAAGCTTAAGTATGTATTAAAAAATAGTTATCAATATTTTTTATATATTAATAGAATCATATAATCCGATCAATTTGATCGGTATGATTTTATAATGCATGTTATGATTGAGTTAGAGAAAAACACAGGAAATTCGTGCCAAACAGTTTAATAATTTTTTCAGTACTTGTCCAGAAAACTTGTATTGATTGTATTATGTGATTTTTAGAATTGGTTTGTGGATTTTGATTACTAATATTAAACATTTATGTGGATGTGCCATTAAATATGATCATGCTAGATGGATGGTATTAAACATGAAAATCCGATATTTATTTGTTTTACCACTTAAATCCAACATTGATGTGCTTCATTCTTAAATCCAAACTTAACCAGGAGCAACTATGGCTGGAGAACTTATGTCGTTTGGTATGCAAAAGCTTTGGGACCTATTAAGTCAAGAATGCGAACGATTCCAGGGAGTCGAAGATCAAGTTACTGAACTAAAAGGAGATCTAAAATTGTTAAGTTCTTTCCTAAAAGATGCGGATGCAAAGAAACATACAAGTGCGGTGGTGAAAAATTGTGTAGAAGAGATCAAGGAAATTATCTATGATGGAGAGGATACTATCGAAACTTTTCTTATCAAGCAAAAAATCAGCGAAACGAGTGGCATCAAGAAGAGTATCATAAGACTTGCTTGCATTATTCCAGATCGTAGGAAAATCACGTTAGATATGGGAGGCATAAGTAAAAGGATCTCCAAGGTGATACGAGATATGCAGAGTTTTGGAGTACAACAGATGATCACTGATGGTGGGTATATGATACCTCTACGTGATAGACAAAAGGAGATGCGACAAACATTTTATAAGGACAACGAAAGTGGTTTTGTGGCATTGGAGGCAAATGTTAAGAAATTGGTTGGATATCTTTTGGAGGAAGGTGACTATCAAGTGGTTTCCATAACTGGAATGGGTGGTCTTGGTAAAACCACCCTTGCTAGACAAGTTTTTAATCACGATGATGTAAAACGTCAGTTTGATGGCCTCGTGTGGGTTTGTGTTTCACAAGATTTTACACGGAAGAATGTATGGCAAAAGATCTTGAAGGATCTCAAACCTAAAGAAGAAGAAGCTAAAATCTTGGAGATGACAGAAGATACACTCCAAAGTGAACTAATTCGATTATTGGAAACATCTAAGTCGTTAATTGTCCTTGACGACATATGGAGAAAGGAAGATTGGGAAGTAATCAAGTCAATATTTCCACTGACAAAAGGTAGCCAGCCCCCTTTTGGTACACACTTGTTAGTGGTCATACTGAATAATCAGCTAAGCTAACTCTTTGTGTTTGTTTTTTTTTTGGCAGGTTGGAAAGTGTTGCTTACTTCTCGAAATGAAAGTATCGTTGCGCCTAGAAATACAACACATATTAACTTAAAACCAGAATGCCTAACTAGTGATGAAAGTTGGACACTTTTTCAAAGGATAGCTCTTCCTATAAAAGATGCATCTCGTAAGTATTTAATTTTTTCGGCATATATCTCTATCGTGTGGATATCTTGCATCTCGTAGCCTACTTGTCAAATATATTAACATATATAGTGAAAAGTTTTGCAGAAATTAAGATTAGTGAGGAAATGGAAGAGATGGGTAAGCAAATGATCAAACATTGTGGAGGTCTACCATTGGCTATCAAAGTGTTGGGAGGTTTGTTAGCTGAAAAATACACACTGGATAACTGGAGAAGATTATCTGAGAATATTGGATCTCATCTCGTGGGAGGAAGAACTGATTTTAATGAAGACAACAACAATTCATGTAATTATGTATTGTCTCTGAGCTTTGAAGAATTGCCAAGTTATTTGAAGCACTGTTTCCTCTACTTGGCTCATTTCCCAGAAGATCATAAGATAAACGTAGAGAATTTGTCATATTACTGGGCAGCAGAAGGTATATTTGAACATAGGCATTACGATGGAGAGACTATTCGAGATGTTGGAGATGTCTACATAGAGGAATTGGTGAGAAGAAATCTAGTCATTGCTGAAAGAGAAGCTACGAGTTTGAGATTCGAGACATGTCATTTGCATGACATGATGAGAGAGGTTTGTTTGTTAAAAGCCAAAGAGGAGAACTTCCTACAAATTACCAGTACCCGCCCTCAAACCGCAAAGTTTCACTCTCCTACATCTCGCAGATTCGTCTCACAATATCCTACGACATTACATGTTGAGAGAGAGATAAACAATCCAAAACTTCGGTCTCTCGTGGTTATTCAGGATTACTGGGGGAAAAGTTGGAAACTATCATGTTCAACCTATACAAAGTTAGGATGTCTAAGGGTATTAGATCTCTTTAAAGCCAAGTTTGAAGGAAAGTTACCTTCTGCAATTGGAAAGCTCATACACTTAAGATACTTGAGCTTGGAAGATACTAAGGTATCTCATATACCTTCTTCTCTAGGAAATTTGAAGTTGCTGATCTATCTAAACTTAAATATACATTATGGTGTGGAATCTATATTTATTCCCAATGTTTTGGTGGGGATACAAGAATTGAGATACCTTGCATTACCATTTTCTATGGGGAGAGGAACAAAATTAGAATTGAGTAATCTAGTAAACTTGGAGACCCTGAAAAATTTCTCAACAAAGCATAGCATGTTGGAGGATCTACGTGGTATGGTCAAGCTGAGGACTCTCACCATCAAACTATTTGAGGAGAAGAGTATGGAAACTCTACCTGCATCAATAGGTGGACTGCAATATTTGGAAAATCTTGATATACAGGTAGTTCATAGGAGGGTAGAAGAAGAAATAGTTTTGGATTTCACTCATGTAAAAAAGATGAGTTTGGAGATAATTATGCGAAGACTTCCTAAAGAAGAACACTTTCCTTCTCGCCTAATGATATTAGATCTAGGATCATGTCTTTTAATGGAGGATCCAATGCCGATTCTTGAGAAATTGATTCAGTTAAAAGAGGTTCGTTTAGGGATTTTTGCCTTCCGCGGGCGGAGAATGGTTTGCTCGAGCAGTGGGTTTCCTCAGTTGCAGAAGCTTGATATAGATAGACTAGAGGAATGGGAAGAGTGGATAGTTGAAGAAGGGTCCATGCACCTTCTTCATACTTTGGTTATTACGGAATGTCAAAAATTAAAAGAGGTTCCTGATGCGTTGCAATTCATCTGTTCTTTAAAGAATTTAGAAATGGACATGGAATGGAAGGAGAGACTGTCTGTGGGAGGAGCAGATTATTACAAAGTCAAACATGTCCCTTCTGTTAAATTCAGAGATATCAACTAGGAATGTACCAGGTAAAATATTACTATATCTATACATCAAGTTCACTAAGACATCCAAAGAAAGGGGAATCTATGTCCTCTGTTTTTAAAAAGGATTTTGAGTTATATGGCTATTGAATTTTGTTTCATTCTTCTTTTTCTGTAGACGAAATTGATAAGATTGAAGCTGCCTTATCAGAATCTCCTCCCATGCAAAATCTTGGTCATTTGCCTATCTACACATAATAAACTCTTCTTGATGTGTTTGTTTTTTTTTCTACTTGCTTTTTGTATAATCAAAGGTACTTTCTGATTTCTGTTGGGGAGTATCATGAAATAGTAACTAAAAAATTTACGCTTTCGTATCAACATTGGTTTCATATCAGAATGATCTCAACACTCATAGACGTCTAGATAGTGTTTTGCTTATTCTATCTGAGTATCTTTGTTTCTCTTTCTTGAAACTTTTAGTTTGTTCTATCCATATCGTTTTTGTTTGATCTTCAAGCCTCTGAGCATCTACTGACACCACTAGATCATCATGAGTACCCTTCTTCGCGGAGCCATTATAGACGAAGCTCAACCAAGACTGAGAGTCTGAGAGCTCACAGATAAGACTTTGACATTGTCATTGTGGCTTCTGTATAAAGTTAAGCTCTCCAAGTCTTAGCTTTGTAAAAGGTTCGTTTATCACAGTTCCAGCACTTTAATCGTATAGTTCCTGCAACATTCTTAAATTTTACACATTGTATAATCTTTCCAATGGCTAACAAAGAAATTGCGGCTTTAGAAACCTTTCCAGTCTAAAGTCTAAACGTATAATATAACAACGCCATATAAGCTCTCAAGTAAGCACGCCATATAAGCTCTCAAGTAAGTACACCATAATGAAATGTTAGTCTGTACAGGAACAGATCAGTTCTTGTTAATGGGAAACGTGTTCAATGCCAGAAATTAGAGACAGAGCTGCATATTCGAAACTGCCATTTCATAGACGCAAAACATCTATCAAAATTCCAAACACAACTAAATATAACTATCCTTATAATTAAAGCTCCAATACCAAAAAAACGGATAGACAAAGAAGAAACAAGACTGTCTTCAAAGGATAGGAAAAAGATATTTGCGACAACCAAAACCTATAAAACCATACTCGTGTATTGAAGTTCTTAAGCTTGGTCTTCAGCTTCGGTGATAACCTTAGTTGCGGGAAGAGCCTTTGATGACAGGAAATCAGTGTAATCTTGGTAAGGTGATTTCGAAAATCTTGTCTCTTTCCAGAACTCTGGTGTAAGGAACCCATATGTCTTCTGAAGACAATCGAATGTAGCCTGTGTGATCACACCAACACACCAACAACATCAACCCAAGGGTTAAAAAGATAACCAATAATATCAATCAATCACAAATAATGAAGCAACTACATCCATCCATCAAACCAAGTAACTGAGCTGAAGATCATAAACAAGAACTATGCTCATCTACAAATTGCAATCAGCTACACTTGCACAACTAAGAATCACATAGATACAATGTAAAGACTTTATCATATCATCCACACAAGAAGCAACTATGCAAATGTGAACCAAATCCCTAATCCAAATTAAAAGCAGAACTCTTTAGCTACACATAAGCAGTTACATCAATTAACCATTAACCAAAAACAAGGATGCAAAATCGAACCTTGACAAAGTTTCCAAGGGTTTTGGTAGATCCTCTGGAAGAAGTGAAGACATCATCAATACCAGCAAACTGAAGAACCTTCTTAGGAACCCTAGCAGCGACAATACCAGCACCTCTGGGAGCAGGAACCATCCTCACAGTAACAGAACCACATTTACCAGTAACCTTACAAGGCACAGTGTGTGGCTTCCCAATCTTATTCCCCCAGTAACCTCTCCTCACCGGAACCACCGAAAGCTTCGCCAGAATAATAGCTCCTCTAATGGCAGTAGCAACCTCCTTAGAACACTTGACACCCAATCCAACATGTCCATTTCCATCTCCAACCACCACAAAAGCCTTGAACCGAGTCCTCTGACCAGCTCTGGTTTGCTTCTGGACAGGCATGATCTTCATAACCTCATCTTTCAACGAAGGTCCAACTAATTGATCAATGATTTGGTACTCTTTTACGGGAAGAGAGTGTAGGTAGATCTGCTCTAGCTTCTCGATTTTGTTTTCCTTCACTAGACGACCTAGTTTTGTCACTGGAACCCATTTCTCTTCTTCCGAGGCACGTCCTCCACGTCGTCCACGGCCTCTAGGACCACGATCACGCCCACCACGGCCACCGCCGAAACCACGTCCGAAACCACCACGGTCACCGCCACGCTCTGCGCCGCGTTCTCCACCTCTTTCAGCCATTTTCGATTAAGTAAACCCTAGCGGAAGCACAAGTTTTGTTTATATATGTAGGTGTGAGATTAGGGTTTTCTAAAAACTGCGTTATGGGCTTGTGGGCCGAAAGTTTATGTAACAGTTGAGATACTAATCAAGAAGCCCAATAAAATAGCTTATTAGATCACACCAAATAGAAGCGATAACCTTTATAAATTGTGTGTGCTCCGTAAGAAGCACTGCTTCATATAAATTACTCATTTAACATTCATAGTAAAAAGTCAGACAAAAAAAAAAAAAAAACATTCATAGTAAAAAATACACAGATCCATAGTATGTTTTTAATCTTCACAGTAAAAAATTAAATGAAGATATCTCAAACAGTATCCATAACTAGTTGGGGTTTATCAGTCGATACGATCTTAATTACTTGGATAAAAAGATACAAAAATCTCTGTCTTTGTCTACGGTAAGATATATATGGGTAAGTGCGTGCGAAATTGGGAATGAGTTCGTGAATGTGTGCTGAGGGTATCTGATCTACCTTTTCTATAAGAAACCTAAGGCTGATGATCTATCTAAATGTAGATGTATATATGGATACTATATTTGTGCCCAAGTCTTGATGAGAATGAAAGAATTGAGATACCTTGTGTTACCATATGATATGCAGAGAAAGACAAAATTAGAATTGGTAAACTCTGGCGAACTTCTCAACAAAGATTAACAGACTAGACGACTTAATTAGGATTATTTCAAATGGTGAGACCTCTATAGACATTGTAATGTGTTTGCTTAATTTAAAAGGAGTACTAAAACTTTACCATCTAAAACAAACAATGTTTGCTTGAAAAGTAGTAAATTAGAATTATTTTTGGGGAGTCTTGGAACTAATAAGTTGATGAATGAAAATATTATGATGCTATTTTAAATTAAATAATGAATACATACATAATAATGAGATTTAAAAAACAATATTCAGCTATTTAACATCATTGATAGATTTTGCTCAAATATTTGTCGAGTAAATTGTCAACGATAACTTGATAAGCTCTTTCAGTTGGATGGTAGCTATCCCAAAATATATAAGCCGAAGAATTTGAACACGTAAACGGGTTCAATGAATTACACAAGTACGATATCTCAAGATTTCCTTTACCGCAACATCCTCTATCAGCTACCTCAAAACCTGAAACAAAATAAGATGATTTAAACATAGTTTAGTTTGATGTAGATAATTGCAAAATAAAAACAAAATACTTAGATAAATCTGTTAGATAGACTTACCGTATTTTTTGGGGTGTTGGATCATGTCGAAAAGAGTATCATAAACATCGATGTAAAAGATAACACCATCCAACTCTTTATCTAAAGAATTTAGTGCTGGAGAAAGCCTTGAATTAAATTGTTTTGCCATGGTGTTTAAAGGTTGATTACATCCTCTTGTTAAGAAACCCCCAAATACAGTTCTTTGAAGTGGAACACAACCAACAGGAACTGCACTAAACACTCCGATTTTTCGAGCTCCAAGTTTGTGTAACTCCTAAACATTTAATTATATAAAGAAGCATTACTTTTTGGATGTAAATATATCATTGATTAGTTTATATATAACTACAGCTATAGTACTTACCCTCACAAATTTGGCAGCAGCATCAGCCAAAAAATTGGCATACGAGGTATGATCGTATCTATGAGCTCGAGGTAGATAAGTGTGAGCAAGATCATTGCTACTAGACACTACGAGAAAGAAACTGTTTTCCACAATATCTTTGGCTTTTTCCTCTCCAAAATGTTTCTTGATCTTTGATATATATTCTTTAAAATATGTTAGTTGATCCCATACCGATATAACTGACTGCAATATTAAACATAAATATTAGGAAAAACCGAAAAGAAACCACCCATAAAAAAACTACCAATCATGATGACAAAACATTAGCTATAGTGTACCATGATTTGTGCTGTTAATGGATCATAACCCGTTCCTCCAGATGCAAATGTCACACCTTTAAGAAGATCTTCAGGCTTCAAATTACGATTCATATATGCTGGTAAAGTCTTTGCCAATCCCAATTTTTCAGCTGCAATATTTTATAACATACTTATCACACTATATAAATAGCTTTCCTTTCCTATTATAATTTAGAAAATATAACTACAATTCAAATGGTTACCAATAAGATCAGAAGGAACTCTTCCATCAGAAAATCTTCCAGTAGCAGAGCCTCCAGGGAAATCTTTGCCATACGGAGGGAAGTTACATTTTAGAAGAGTGGGAAGATTATTGTTGTTTCCTGTATCCATTATCGAATCTCCAAAAACTATTAGTGCTGGAATTGTTGTGTTCTTTCCTTGCGCCGCTGCATTAGCTTTGATGGCGATTAATACCAAAGCGAGCCATAGCATTTGAAGCTTCATTGTCTTGTTTGATTTGTTTACTTTTGTGCTCGATATTTGCTTGTATGTTTTACAAATTCAAAGAAATGTGTGCATGTTTATATATCTTGTCTCTGTTTGTTAGATTTCTAAAATTATCTCTTTTGACAAATAGTTGTTAGGTTCTATGATATCTTTAGTTAGTTATTATGCTTGATATTAGTTGGAACGACAACGAAATTTAATTGTATTTTTTTTGTAATTAAATTGTAATTAAATGGTATGTTTTGAAAATACTATGTTTGGGGTTTTAATCGATTCCATATGTATATATAAAAGTCAAATATATAAGCTTTTGAGGCTGTTCACAAGAAATTTAAACGACTAATCACCAATTAGACATTTCATTATTTATCATTTCGAAGTTATTAATAACTAGATTTTACCCCGTGGTACACCACGGGGCTAATATTTTATACGTATCTTTTATGTAAAACTTTAACCGTTATAATTTATATATACATACGGTTATATACAAAGTTTGTTTAGCATAATCTTTTGATTGCCAACATAATCGATATATCCGTTGTGATTTATATATCAAAAAATAATTTAGATGCGTATTTGCGCTAGAGCGGGAGGGAAATTTGTTTTTCTTTTTTGTTAAACAAATTATATTTTTACCCCATAGTATACACCACAAATCCATTTTATTTGAAAATTTATATGTAATATTCGTGATTTTGTGTAATAAAATGATTGAATTTCTTTAGTGATTAATATAAATGGTATTGTGTTATAATACAAATTATAATATAGTTGTATTTGCCAATATTTTTTTTTGATGAATTCATATGGGCTGGATTTTAGAAGAATTATGAGTATCATATGTGTATTTTTAATATAGTGAACCTCAGATTCGTTAAAATAATTTATATATTTTATATGTAAATATATTTATATTTGTGACGGAGAAAAATATATATTTATATATGTGAGACTTAATACAACTCATTATTGAATACATTTCTGTTAAATTTGAAATAAATATAAATATTTGGATTTTTATATAAAGTTGGTATTGATGGTATTAACAAAATTATAAATGATGATTTAACCAAAGCTCTATGATATTTTAAATTTATAATAATATATGACATACCATATAACCCCGTTCTATGATAATTTAAACTTTTTATACACATAATTGTTTTTTAGTGTTTAAAATAACTGAGTTTTTTTTTTGGAATGTTACAGTAGTACATTGATTAAATTATAAAGAACTCTTAACTAATGGTTATTTATGTGCATATTAACAGTATATTTGTGCATAGACGGTAAGTTTGTATATATTCTAGATTTTATAAGATTATTATTTAGTTCAGCTTTATGAACATATTAATATATCTAAAATATATATTTCTGGTACATTGTTAATTTAAGATTTTATTTTTAAATTAATGTTTTCACTAATTACCCCGTAAGTGGTACACTACTAAATATTTCTGGTACACTTTTAATTTAAGATTTTATTTTTTATCAAGTGTTTTCACTAATTTTATGTTCATGGTATACTACTAAATTTGAAGGTTTACATTACCGACATTTCTCAATCCGTTTTGGAGTGGTACATGGTACACTACTAAATAAAATTAATTGATTATTATAGTATAATTAATATTAACATCTAATATTTATTTTTTAATTGATATCAAAATCATACAAAACAAAGATGAGATTTACGTAACCATAATCAAAATTATTTGTTTATTACCATAACTATAAAATCTTTAACAAAAATCCCTAATATAATAAAAATTCATAGAGTTTAGGCTATGATAAAAATTCATAGAATTGTTTTTTTTTTGGTGAGGGGAGGGGGAATTCATAGAATTGTTTTGTAATCAAGAAAGAGATGCTAAATATTATTAACCAACACTTGTAATAAGAAATCCGAAATGAATGCTATATATGATTGCTGATAAAACTTTAGGAATATTCTCTAGATTTAGTATCAAAGATCCCCAAAAATGAATTATCCCGCAACTATTAGTTAGTATTGTTTAGGAAATATGTCTTATGTTTAGGATTATTATGAAAAAATCTATGAAAATTAAATAGGATCTCTCCAAATATTAGAACAAATGAATATATGATGTTTTAACTTTTAAGGAATATGTTTTCAATTGTGTTAAAAAGATTTCCAAAATTAAATAATCTATAATTTGTGTTATTGTATAATATTTGATTTTTTATTTCTTGTTGAAAAAATGTTGAGCT